AGAAAGAGAGAAAAGGTGAGCGTTTCCGAGAAAGGAGAAGAAAGAAATAATGAAAGATTGAAAGAAAATGAAGAGAAGATATATATACATATATATATGTATGTATGTATGTATATATATGCCTGCGCTCCGACTAATGGCTCGAGCCCGATCTCACGGCTTGAAAACGACGGCTTGAGAAGTGAAACGCAGGTGTCGTGGCACAAGTGTTAACGCGCCGAACCGCGGTTGATTAGGAAGGGCATCCAGTCAGGCAAGGGTGACACTGTCATATAACTTCTCAATAGTGAATTGAGAGAGGCTTATGTCCTGCAGTGGAATGAGTGGCTGTTAATATATATATATATATATATATATATATATATATATATATATATATATATATATATATATATGTATGTATGTATATAAGTATATATATGTCTGTGTGTGTGTGGAAAGACACACACACACACACACACATATATAGATAGATAGATAGATAAAGAGAGAGAGACAGAGCAAGAGGGAGATATGCACATATACACATATGTGTGTGCAATATTTATATCTATCATTCTTTACCGTTCTTACCCCGAACTCTTTATATTTATCTTCACCATTCTTATCATGATACTCTACATTCATTATCTTCAGCATCCCTCGATTCCGTGGGCGATGTGCCTTGAAACTCGAAAATTATGTTATACTAAACTTTTATACTGAATTACCTTTGCGAGGCGGAATGGCACAGAAAAAAACTGTCGCCTGAAAATATTCAAGTTAAATTTAAGTATGAGGTGGAGGTGGAGGAGGAGGGGGAGGGGGGAAGGGGAGGGGGAAGGGGAGGTGGAGGAGGAAGAGAAGGAGAAGGACGGGGAATGGGAAGAGGAAGAAGAAAGAGGAAAGGGGAGAGGAGGATAAGAAAGAGGAAGACGAGGAGAATGACAAGAAGGAAGAAGAGAAAGAGGAGGAGGAGGATCACGATGATGACGTTGGTAATGTTGATAGTAGTAATAAATGCAATTATGATAACGATAATTAGACAATGGCAAGAATGATGGTACTGATACTTACAATGATAATAATAATAATTTCAATAATAATAATAATGATAAAGATGATGATGATAAAAATGACAATGATAATAATAACACTAACAATAAAAATAATAACAATAATGATAATAATAATAATAATGATAATAATATTAATAAAAGTAATAATGATAATAATGCTAATATTAATGATAATGATAAAATATTATAATAATTATAATAATAATAATGATAACAATAATAATAATAATGATAACAGTGATAATGATAATAACAATAATAACGATAGTAGCCTGATAAAGATGATTAATAATAATAGTAAAACTGTTAATAATAGTAATAATAATAATAATAATAGTAATGATGATGATGATGATAATAATAACA